TGACATTTAGACCCTCCCCTGGATGTGCCCTGTTAGAAAAGAGAATATCCTGTCAAATTAAGGCTAAGACTGTGATGTGTTTGACTTCAACTAATATCAGTACATAAATGTGTCACCGCTTCCTTCTGTTACATAATGTGGTAAAGTGCTGTAGGCTACATGTTTGGTAAAAATGATTTAAACAGAAGTGGTTTTGTTTTGACATTCTGGTTTTAGTTTGAGTGTGAATATAGCACACAGCCCTGCAAGTTCAAATTTTATTCGCCACATGCAGTGGCAGGTTGCCCTGCAGTGGAATGAACCCGACCCCCGACCTTACACACACAACACAGACATCACATGGGGATACAAGTCAGAGAACGGTTGCATTACAGAAAAACCACTGAAATGTACACTACAATAGGAAAGTACAAGAGGAAAAAAAGAGACCTCTACTCATGCTGGGCTGGAGGACAGCATGAGAACAGGAAACAAAAAAACTCTGCACAGAAAGCATAAATGTCAACAGTACAACACGTGACCAGCAACAGGGGTGGGTAGGGGATGAGGAGTAATCCCAGGCAACACAGCAGCCATCCTGCCACTGCGCCGACTCTCCAGCATGGGCCCAGACCCGCCCGTGTTCCCAGGAGGCAACAAGCATCGAAGGCGTCGGAAGGGGAGGGGGATGAGTGAGTGCTTATCAGTGTAAGTGTATGTGTGTGCGTGTCCATAGTTCAGCTGAGACAGTGTCCTTTGCCCTGCCAGGCTAAGGAAACCGTCTTCCAGCCAACCCAGGTGGCCTTGCAAATATGACATCCATTATTAATTGAAGTCATGTTTAGTCCACATAACGGTTTCAGTGAACCATGCACTGCCCAAACACATTCAGACTTGCTAAAACAAAACAAGGCAAAGCTTCAGATAAACCTGCATAAGTTACTCTACATTTACACTTTGCTGTTTGAATGCTTTGCCTTGCTGTGTCACACCTAAGAGGATATTCAGTTTTACTAAGTTTCACCAGGCCTTTGCATGTAAGTCGTCATCATGTTCAGTCATCTGATGAGAAAAATCAGCCATGGCATATTGTCAGACTCATGGTAAAAGCCCTCGTACGGCCCACTTTGATCTAAAGGGTGCAAAACCAGAAAAACTCCCCTTAGTGTCAGTGTGAACAGTATGACTCGTGCAGTTTAACTGCATGATGTAGAAATACTGCTGCAGTAATGTATGAAGATGTGCTCACTAGTATAAAAACAAAAGGTTTAGTGTAGTGTCGTGATTAAATTTCAAGAAAGTAACTCACGCTATTTCACAAAAAAAGTATTTTTATTTTAATCAGAATATATAACAAAAACAAAATCCCCCACAAAAAAAATTACGTTTTCTATGTTTTAAGTGTTATTGTTTATCTATTACTTAATTGTTTTAGTGTAGTATGAATGGCAGTGGGGGATTCTTTTATGCAAACTGTAAAAGAGAAAATACACTATCAATTCAGAATCTCATGTCCAACATCACATATTCCAAGGTTGTCCAGCAGGCCAGATTAGAGTCTCTGCTGGGCCGATTGTGGCCCTCCGGCCATAGGTTTGACACTCCTGCCCTAGAACATGCTGTCCAAACATCTTTCTTTTTTCGCTGTCTTACAGCTGCTAACATTTCAGCTTAGGTAAAATTACAGTTGATGACATAATAATGTTGAACTGTCTTAGCAGTTCGTTCAGTGAAACTATGAAATCAGCTCCGCCTGAGAGTCAGGCATCATCCATGCATACATACACTACCACTGTTACAGTATCACGCTATGATATACCGCGCTATATTGTAACATACATACAATTCTATTCTGATGTTGTGTTCTCGTGTTCTACACTGTTCTATGACATTATATTCACGAGACCCCTGGTGGGCTGTGAAGGAACTGCAGTGTCAAATAAACTATTCTAAGTACTTAAGGAAAAAGAAGCTGATGATTGTTATTTAACAGAATTTGAACTTTGCGCGATTTCTAAATGTCTAAATGAATTTAAAAAAATACAATTTTGATCAAAAAGTCAAAAATTAATAACACCGTGATTCTGAAGTGAAGGGGGCAGTATCATTCGGCGTGAGATAAAAACGTCCGAACGCTTAAAGATCGATCTCCATTTAATAACCGAAATTATATTTTGATCAACAGCTTATTAGTATACAACAGAGAGCTGCAACAGTTATTAAAAATCACGTATTCCGCATAAACCTGTCGTTTTTACCATCGAAAAAAACGATTTACTGTTGATTTATTGACATAAAAATAGGGTCTAGACTCTCGTGCTTGAGCAATAATTGGCCATCATTAATAATCAGAGCCAGGAGGCCGAGCCTGTTACTACAGCGCTGCACACAGGCCTGTGCAAATCGTTTGGCTCAACCTGAGGCCCTTTAGGCCACTAAATCCAATGTGGCCGCTCATCTGATCGTTTAAACCCTTTTTTAAGTCGTTTTTGGTACATTCAAAGTGGAAGTGTAGGCTTTAGGTTTTTAATGTGTATATCGCACATGTGTAGCATTCATTTCATTCTTTAAGGAAATTCGTTTAGTGAATGACAGACAGAAAACTTTTTTTTATTTTTCCAAAAAAGAGAGAAAAAAAAGACAGATTTAAATAGCTCTACATACTATTGTCATGCTGACTTTCCGATCAAGTCAGTGATGAAATAGGACATAATGTTATCAATGAAGTGTTTTCTGTGTGTTGACAATACCACACATAACGATCATACCGCGTTTTGTCAGTTTTCAACCAGTGAATCATTAATTTGACCTTAAACACTTCGGTGGATGTGAGCAATCATTACGTCATTTAATCCGAATTCTATCGGAAAATACAAAGAGAAAAAATATGCAGTGATTTGTGTTAAATAGTAATAAATAAATAAATGCTGATGTAAAAATTACCGAACAATTTGTCTTTGTATCCGCCTCAGAAAATGTTTGTGTGGAGAGCGAGAGGGTTTGCTTCATTAGATTCTGAGAGGTGTGGACTAATTTCTGCTTCTTATTTAACGAAAAAATAAATGTAAATATACGTCTACAAATATTAAAATGAACCCAAGAAGCACTGTGGCCTAAAAATGTATTCATGTGTATTGTTTAATGGTATCATGCGTTTGACGTTTATAAAATGGATTCTAATAGGAAAAGAAGGTGAGCCTGGCTCTACATAATTTATTTTCATTTGTCAAACCACGTGTTTCCGTCTGGAAGGAGGAACTCTTAACCTCAGCCGAGGCCTGATGGAGCAGGCGAACCACGAAGTGTCCGTGAAAAACTTCACCGTGAACACACTCAGGCCTGTGAGGCCTGAAGGCACTGAAGGTGACCGTGTGTCACCTCACTCAGGCAGTGGTGTAAGCACGCTGTTTATTTAATCACACACAGCTGAAGCAAGATATTACAAAAATAAGAAAAAGGAAATTAAGACAGGAAACAAAAGCTTTAATCGGTGTAAAAAAAATCATAATAATAATTATAAGCTGCACACATAAATAAGCTGAAGCGCATTAATAAGTTAAAAGTTGTCACTTATTGATCCTAAAAGTCTTCAGACGTCTGCCTGGGACGTAGTTGATGGATTGTGGCCATTCATCTGCAGAGGAGGACGATGGCTCAGAGGCTCCGACGCCCCATTTACATCATGGTGTTCATCTCTGGGTCCAAAGCGTCGGAGAAGACGTGACAAGTACGTGGAGCAGTGAGATTTCAGGAGCCATCCACACACAAGGCCGCAAACCAAAAAGACCACAGCTGTGATGCAGACAGCGGCCAGAGTTCCCAGTCCGCTTACTTCTGAAGTCGTCGGTGTCGGCTGCAGAGGATACAAGAGCAGAAATGCGATCAGATTCATGGAACTTTACATGAAGCTGTTTCAGGTCTGACATATAGCCGTAATGATGTTATCTATTCAATCGGGGGGCACCACGTTGCTCTTTATGTGGTGTCTTAATACTGAATCTCTTCCTGTGGCAGGCTAAATATGTGTCAGTAGTGATGTCATATGACATGTTGCAAAAATGGGTTGCATTTATGTTACTGGTATACATTTTTACATAATATAAAGTATCATATCGCATTATCTGTTATATAGCGACATGCATTTATGTTCATTAGCGCACAGAACTGTGAGACAAGCCGAGAAAAGTCTCAGAGTGTGGGGCTCCAATGATAATGGCCTCACCAATCGCCAGCAAAGCGCAGTACATGTACATTAATGCAAATATGTATGACAACTGGAAACAACAAACTTGTTTTATTGATTGAGACAAATAAGACGCTCTGCAGTGTCATCAGAATATGAAAGCACGCGAAGAGGAAATACGAGCTGATTCAAGAGTAAACAAATGCGTCAAAGCCTCGATAGTTTCGCCTCACTTGACAGAACTGTGACTGATGTGGACAAGAAGACTGATGTGATGATGTGATTTACTTTTTCAACACTTTGATTTTGTTTTTTTATTCTTTACATATCAGCATAAATAGCAGTATTGTAAATTTCCCTGATATGATTTGGAGGTTGCATCCACACCTGAGGGAGCAGCTTCACCACCAGTTGGGCCTGCACTATATGCACCTATAGGTAAGACACTGGCCTGATGGGATTGACCTCAGGACTGCTCCACCATCCTGCACTCAAAGGATATATTAGTTTTAACTGAAGATTAGGTGCTCTGTGAGGCACGAAAATGCTGTTTAACAATATTTGACATGGTTTTAACATGTTTATAATGCCTGTCTTTCATTGAACAGGGTTGAAAATCAGTGTTTTTGTGTTTACTCGGAAAAACAAGGAGTTGTGGATGGACTGTGAAAATCAAAGACAGATGTAGTTCTATAAATAAAGGAACAGAAATTTTGTCTTACCCTAATAATGTGGGTAACATGGTTGCACTGGTTTCTGACACACTCAGACTTGTCAGAAATATTACACCAAATATGAATGACCTATGTTTGACTCATAGTGTCAGCATGGGACTCCATCATTTCACTTCCTCTTGCAGGATGCAGCGTCTTTCTGTTGCGAATGCTCAGCAGAAAAACGCAGGAGAGGAGCAACCAACACAAATCGCGCTGTTTTCTTTGGAGTCACGTGTGAAAATAAATGAAACACACATTTAAAGTCAATGTACTCACCATCAGTGTAGGCTTTAGCGTGCTGGTCAGGGATTTAGGGACGGTCTCTCGAACTCGCAGGCGCACAGCTGAGCGGTGTCGCTCCGTCTTGTCCACGTCACAGAAATAAACGCCTTGATCCCTCAGGTGAACTCGCTTTATGGTGAGGGACAGGTCTGCCCTTTGGTACCAGTCTGATGATATTGATACCCGGCTTTCAAAGTCATTCCCATAAGTAACCTGTGGAGGATTCAGCTCCAGCACCACCTCTCCGTCTCGCCTCCACTGCGCAGACTTCACCCTCTGACCTGCTGTGATGGAGCGGCACGGCAGTGCAGCATCCTCACCCTCATCTACAACAACTTCAGAGGGCAGGAATACTTGCAGATCAGTGAGCTCTAGCTTCCCTTTCTTCTTGCATGTAAAGTCATACATGCCCTGGTCATTTAAATCTACACTTGTCAGTTTTAAAGAATCGCTGCTTACAGTCACCCGGTCAGTGTAAGCTCGCCCCGGCTCCCAGTGACCATGAAGAGACGCCACCACCTGAATGCTGCCGTCCTTCAGGTGTAGATTCAGTGCTCCGTGTCCCTCCATGCACTCGTCTGAGAGGGGAAACTTAACATCATCCCCTACACTCGCCTGGATCAAGTCTCCAAAGACCTGGCTGATAAAAACTAGAAGAAAGGCTGCAGAGACCGGTAACCGCAGCATGCTGGCAGTGTGGCAGTGATGAGACTTCTTGAATCCAGCTCAGCGAGCGCTGGTGGGTCGATGCGGGTAGATGTAAAGGGTCGGTTTGGAAGACAAAACCCCTTCTAAACGGGGGCGAACAGTGGTAAGCCAAGGTAGTTTATAATAAAACTTTATGAAGTTAATTATTATGAATTTGCCATAAAAACAAAGAATAAAGCAGCCTTGGCCAGGGGCAACAAGAATTAAATATAAAAAAGAAAAGAAAAAAACAGCGGCGAGCGGACACGAATATTAAAAACCTTTGAAAGTCCCATAAAATACTAGGACAGGCAGTATCCTCACATGTCCTCTTCACTCCCTCCTTTCGCTGCCGAACTAATGGAAAGGGGAACAGCGGCTGTCACTTTTCTCATAAATACCGACGGTTTCTCATTGATCATCCGGGTCGATACTTACCCCGGGCAGACGCCTTTACCTTTGTCGGCAGCTTTACAACGGTGATTCGCGTTTCGCCCCGTCAAGCAGACTGGAAAGTTCTCCTGTACCTCCGAGCACTCCGTTGAAAGGTGTATCCCACGGCCGTCTCCGTCTTTGCCACTCTGCGAGGCAATAAGGGGATTGGTTCTCGGTGCCCTCAAGGCTCATCTTGATTGGTTAGTTTGGTGGCGAGTGTTCACGTGTGGGGCGCAAATGTACGCACGCGCCCGCAGAAACACGCTCCCAGTTTGAACGGGAGATTTCGGCTTCATTTTTGCACACTGGTAGGAGGCGATGTCGCGTCGTCCATCGTTTATACAGCCATTGGTTTGTAAACAAACCTGACTGTACAAACTTACGTCATTTCAATTCCTCCCCTTCAGTTCCTCCGACCATCGCCGAAACCGCTGTCATGTCCTGTAGCGAGTGTTACATATTTATTTCACGTTTACTTTTGGTCCGTATTAGTCTAACACAAACAGTTGTAACGCATTTTATAAATCCAATTTCATTAAAAAAATCAGAAATATTAGAGAGGAATTTTACATACAAATTTTAGTGAGGAAGACCAGCTGTTTATCATTACAGAGCAATTCATTTGCCTTTAAAGGAAAGGAGCCACGTCTATTTCCTGCTTTTTACGTTCTCGTCATAGAGTTGATAACGGCGGTTAACAGAGGAAGCTGAGTAAAAGATTAATACAAATAAGATTTACACCATCGGTCTATGCAGTAATCTAGTTAAAGACATGGCAAAGTTAGTAAGGAGCTTTTTCTTCACTCTGGATTTAAGAGGACCAGTCGTATTTCAGGTAACCGTTGTACCTCTGCTAGCTGCTCGTTAGCTTCGCTGAAGCTAGCAACAATGTTCATGGTTTCTCATGAACATCCAGCAAATGTGAAGTCGTTGACACGTACGGCTGGTTATTGGAACTGCTCAGACAAAGTTTAACTAACGGACAATGGGGCGACTCTATTAACTTGGCCAAAGGAAGGACTCTGCTTAGCACGGTGGCCTTGTAGCCTGTGCAGACTACGTGGACCAATACAAATATGGCCTTTTCTTTGCCGTTTTAGCTCTTCTGTGCGACCAGAATTCAAGTTACGCTTATTTTGACTAGAAAAATCACAAATAGTGTTTGTGCAACATTTTAGTAATGCGTTATAAACACCCAAAACACGCAACTGAAACGAGGCAGGGTGTGGCAGCGGAAGAGCATACACTATTGCCTAAAGTAATCACTTGTCTGCCTTCACAGACGTGTGAACTTGAGTAACATCCCATCGCATGAGTTGTGTGTTTTTTTAAATGAAGACGTTATCTCACTGATCCACTTAGTGAATACACTGAGCTTCAGCTGGCAGACAGTCTGCTCTCCCTGAGCTGCTGTATAGGCTATCAGTCAGCAGCTGTCTTAATGTCGGCGGACAAGTCTTCCATGCGTCGCACAACTGGATTTCTGGACATGCTGACGTTGTTGAAGTCCTGCACTTTTTCCAGGCACATTATTTCAGTGACTTTAGCGAGGCCGTGTTTTATGAGGTCTCCATCTGAAAAAGGCTTGCCATGTCTTGCGATGAGTTGGGCGACCTCATAGCTGGCTATTGAAGCCTTTTTCCTGGACAATTTGAGCATGAAATAAATACTGTTGCTGACCCTGCAGGAGAGCTACCCTTTCTGCTCTCGCTCAGCACTAGTGTAGGATGCATAGGCCTGATGTTTGGTTTCATAATGATGTAGTACATTATACTCTTTCATAACTGCCACAGTTTCAGTGCAGATCAAACAGACACACTTCCCCTTGAATTCTTTGAAGAAATATTCACTCTCCCACCGTGTCTGAAATTTTCTGCACTCACTTTCTATCTTTCGCTTCTTTGGTTCTGACCTATTTAGTAACTTGGGGTAAATTTCTTCTGTGATTGTCCTTTTTGGTGGAGCAACTGCCTTGATCAACAGTAGCTGGTGTTAAAACTAAGACGTGCAATACACTCAAGCAAAAGTTGAAGTGCGGGCCATATTCTATTCTATTTATAAAATTACTTGCGGGCCAATTTAAAAATGGGCCCGCGGGCCGGAGTTTGGACACCCCTGCTGAAACTGAACGACTTGTTCGCTTCACTGAATGCAGTGTGTGTGTTGTGTGCGTGCGTGTGTGCGTGAGAGTCGTCTTTTATCAGTATTGATGGTGTTTAAATGGGAAATTACTCGCACAATGTAACTGAAGTAGCTTTAAGTGGTTAAAGTCATTCAATAGTAGATTAGCATTAGTTTAGTGTCATTAAGCCTCTGGACGAGTCCACTGAGCTTCAGCTGGCAGACGGCCAGCCTGTCAGCTGTCTGACAGTTATGTTGTGAATGCAGTGGAAGTGAGTGTAGAGAGAGGGAGAGACCAGTTTCAGTTATTATCAGTAACCTAAAGACTGAGGTGGTGAGAGGCGTAGCAAAGTGCAAGGCATTGCAATGCGACTACACTGACAAGAGTGAAAGGATCATCTGCTAATGTGATGGCAATCTGACTTACTGACTACTGACTTAAGAGTGTCCGTGGTGTCCAGCAGGGTGATGGTCGACATCTGGTAAGAAATCTTGTGCTCTCTGTCTTTTGATGAACTGCCCTTTTCTTTGTGTCAGTGAAATTTGTAATACAAAATCCAACATTGATCATAAAGGTTGTCAAGTAGGCTACATCTTTTTGGCTACTGATTGATTTCTCAGTGATTTAGATTTAGGGTGTTACAGCCTTAAAGTTTTATGAGGATATTTCAATAAATTTGTGATATTATTCACAACGATATAGAAAAAAAAATTGAATAAATAAAATGCTGAATAAAGTGTGTCGTTATTTCAAACAAATGAACAACACACTTCTTTGTTTAAAGTGAGCATTTGTTGGCACTTGGTTCACATTCACTGCCTGCTTTCTCTCACGCGCGTCACAGTCTGGTTGCTCTCAGCGGTGTGTTTGCCTCAGGCAGTGAAAACAAGTTTGTTGTCTCCACAGTACTTGTGGGGTGCACATAAGTGGTCCGCATGTGCGCATTCGCTGTTAAAATAAAAGACGCGCACCAGATAAGAAGCTGCAGCGCGCGTTTGCGTCCATATAAAAAGCACTGTTTTTGTCCGCTAGAGTGGGATTTTCACGGC